GCTTGGCAAGGTATATAGCCCAATAAATAGCAATCATTTCAGTTTCTAGTGCATCAAATGCCCAAGTTGGAGAGGAAAAGTATAACATGCACTTCCCCAGAGAGTTCCTAAAGATTCCTCCCACACCAGCAGCCTCCTTACATACAAAAGCTTCCATCTGTTTTGGCTTTCAACCACCCTTCAGGAGGTGGGTTCCAGAGAACTAAAGTAGGCACTTTTAGCTTCTGCACACTGGGCACCCAATTCAGGAAAATATTGGGAAAATTTTGAAATTTTATTATCTTTTGCAAATAAGAAGTACAATTCAGCACCACATCTCCTTTGGTTTGGTGTTTTCATATTTAAACTGGTTCCTGCACATCCAAAGGAACCAGGCAACAATACAAGGAATGATTATTATTTTGGCATCTAACCATTCCATCTAACACCCCAAAAAGTATTGTCAGTTGTCTTTCAGAGTGCCAACATTCAGTTGTTTTAGTATACCAGACCAGACCCCTTGGGAGAAGCTACAAGAGAAGAACAAATGATCCAGATTTTCTTCAGCTTTACTGCACAGCTGACAGCAAGAGGGTCCCTTAAGCCCTTTCATCTTCAAAATGTCATCAGTAGGAAGTAAGGATTTCCATAGCCTCCAACAGAAAAAGGACATGGAAGGTGTTAACCAGTTCCCCCAAATCAATTTACCCCACTTGACAGGTTGCCATTCAAATAGTTGTTGGTAGATGAAGGCAGACAATTTTTGTGAGGAAGTCTGTCTAGTAATGAGTCTATATTTCTGCCTAGGAATGATTTTTGTTTGCTTAACCCAATGTATTTGCTCTTTAGTTAGGATGGCATCCAACAAATTGCAGTTCCACTCATTATCAATCCAGAATTCTTTCACTTTTGTCATTGAGTTAGGGTTGGAGTTGTGTAGTCTCTCCCCATTCCATACCCAATTATCAAGCCATAAATTAACTTGGCCTTCACCAAGCTCCCAGATAAACAGATCCTCAGCTTTATTTCTAATTTCCAGAAGCATAGTCCACAACCTGGAATCACCCATCTTCTTCTGAGCCTTAGTAGGATGAACTGTCCTACAATACTTCCCCTTCGTAAACATAGCCCAAAGACTATCTTATGCTCTGAACTTTATCCATAGTTTGCATAGGTTGATGGTACTGAGATGTTGAAAATCTTTAAAGCCTAAACCTCCAGCACTTTGGGGTTTACATAGTTTGTTCCAAGCTAACCAATGGAATTATTTTTTTTTGTCCATCCCACAAAAATTTGTTGAAAATTCTGGTCAGCCTTATCGGAGTTCCTTTCTTCATGGTAAACATTTGAAGAGCATAGGATGGTATGGAAGTTAGGATGATTTTAAGGAGGGTGATTCTACCTCCATTTGAGAGGAAGTAATTAGTCCAACACTGCAACTTTTTCTGAATTTGGTCAATAACCCCATTGAATTGTGTTTGCTTGCTTCTCCCTTTGATTAATTGGACACCAAGATAGTTGATTGGTAGAGAAGCTTTGCTGAAGCCAGTGTACTGAGCAATCCATTGCTTAATCTATGGAAGAGTGTTTGAGCTAGTAAAGAATTGACATTTTTGTTTATTAAGATGCATACCAGAGGTGATTTGGAAGTGTGAAAGTCCTTAGTAAAGAGCCTTCACAGCATTTTTGGTAGCCTTGGAGAAAATGATAATATCATCAGCATAAGACAGATGACTCACCCCAATGTTAGATCTATGCTGATATGTCAGGTGAGGATAAGAGGCAAACATTTGATTTAAAAGTCTAGAAAGATAATCCATAGCAAGAATGAAGATAGTAAGAGACAGTGGATCTCCTTGTTTAATTCCCCTTGAGGCAGTGAAGAACCCATGGCTTTTATCATTGATTAAGATAGAGTGATTGTTAATACAAAGCCACCTTCTTACCAAGATTATAAAGGCCCTAGAGAAACCCCTAGCATTTAAAGTGTCCAAGATAAAATTCCAATTGATAGTATCATAAGCTTTTTGGATATCCAATTTCAGAATGAGATTGTTGCCTCTACATTTTTTGTCAAGGTCCAGCAACAACCCCTGTGCCAAGAGAAAATTATCAGAGATTTGTCTCCCTTTCATAAATGCTACCTGGTTATTACAGATAAGTTGTTGGAGGTGAGGTTGGAGCCTGTTGTTAATAACCTTGCTGATAAATAACGACAAGACATTTGTTAGACTGATAGGTCTGAAATCTCCCCACCCAGTCCTGCTAGAATTTTTGGGAATCAAAGTTATAGTGGAAGCAGTGAAGTACTTAGGGGGATCCTTACCTTTAAAGAAGCTTTGTACAGCATCAACAACCTCCCCACTAATGATATTCCAAGTAGACTTATAGAATTTGGCAATAAAACCATTAGGGCCAACCACCTTTTGGTCATCAATAGAGTCCAGTAGAGCTTTAATTTCCCCTTCCATAGGAATCTGAATAAGGTCCAAGCTTTAATCAATGCACTCAGAGAAAAGTTCCACCTTGATAGGAGCTCTCTCAGTAGACTGATCCATAAAGATATTCTGAAAATAATTCACAGCATCCAAGGCAATGTCCTCAGCATCAGTTACTACCTTACCATTAGAATCATGTATGGAAAGGATCATGTTATTTTTCCTTCTGAAATTAATACAAGCATGATAATAGCTTGTGTTTCTGTCTCCATCAATAAATCTGGTGACTGCTGCTTTTTGTTTCAGAAAACATTCAGTATAATTGGTTTGCACTAACAGTTCTTCACTGGCTTTGTGCAGATCAGCTTCAGAATTCAGGCCCATTTGGAAATTCTTTTCCATTCTGATAACATTACTTTGGGCAGTGGTCAAGTTCTCATTAATATTGCCAAATGTTTTCCAATTCCACTTCTTGAGATGAGCAGCCACATTTTTCTGCAGGATCCACAGTTTTACCCAGGGATTAGAGTTCCCTTCAGCCCTCCAAACCTTATCAACTTCTTGAACAAACTGAGGGTGAAGAGTCCACATATTTTGGAATCTAAAAGGAGCATTTTTTGTCTTTTCAGCGTTTTGGATAGTACATAACAATGGTCTATGGTCAAACCCTGCCATAGCCAGATGAGTAATGATAGTGTAAGGGAAGGTCTGAACCCATTTAGAGTTACCCATCATTTTATCCAGCCTCTCTCACATGGCACCTCTTCTCCAAGTGAAGTCTGGCTCTTGGTACCCCCAAATCAAACAACTCAGCCTCAGAGAGAAAGTCATTGAATCTGTTTATTGCAGAGATAGTGGGTGGTCTACCACCTTTTCTTTCACCAAGAGAGGAAAGACAATTTAAGTCACCCCCCAAAATCCAAAAAGAGTTTACAACTTGTACAATCAGAATCAACTGATTCCATAAGGTGGCTTGGTTGTTGGCAAGGCTACTGGCATAAATGAAAGTGGCATAGCCAACTTGAGCTCCAATATAGAATTGGAGCACAATAAACTGAGAATGATCTATCAAAACAGACCAATGTAATTCGGCTCTAGCAAAAAGCCAAGTTTTATTATTGGAGTTAGAAAAATGATCAAATTGAGGGAACTTCTTTTGAATTTTTTGGGAATTTTTAGTAACTAAAGGTTCAAGAATGGTAAAACACCAAACTTTATGGACTCTCACTAGATTTTTTAATCTCTTGAGAGAAGAGGGGTGAGCAATACCCCTAATGTTCTAAACAAGAAACTTAATCATTGAGAGAAGGTCCTCCCTTACCCCCTAGTCCTTGGATGATGATCCAAAGTAGTTGGGCCCTCCAAAGGTTGTTTAAATCCTAACTTGCCTTTTTTCTTTTTATTGCTTCTTTGAACTTGCCAATCTTCAGTTAAGACATCAGTCAAACTGTCAATTCTCTGGTCTAGAACTCTAATTGGATTAATACTGATTAACCTGTCATCATGCATAATATTTCCCTTCAAATTTCTGTTAATGTCAATGGCTTCCTCTTGCTCCACAGCACTACTATTAGGTTTAACCCCAATAGTATTTTCAACAACAGCAGGAGTTTCAACAAATTCCACTACCATCTGTTTCTATTGGCCTAGAAGTATTTCTGATCCCAGCAGTTTTTCTTTTAGATGGAGGGTGTAGTCTATAACACCTTTCCACATTATGACCAAATATTTTACAATGTTGACAATAAATTGGCTTTTGTTCCATTACTATTTGCTGCTAAAATCCTTCTTCAGAAGTACCAATCCACACCCTTTCTATTTCAGGCAGGGAGATGTCCCTTTCAACCAAAACTCTAGCACCAGCAGGTCTAGCCATATTAAAGGTAGGGGCATCAATTTTCAGTGGCCAGCCAAGCACCCTACTGATGTTGAAAAGAACATTTTGATGGAAGTACTGAATGGGTAGGTTGGGGAATTTGAACCAAATAGGAACTACAAGGGGTTCCTTTGAGGGATCAAATTCAGGTGTCCACTTCATTAACTTCATTGGAACACCATTAATAATTAGAGTTTGTTTGGCAAAAACCCTTGCATAGTCCTCTTCATTAGATAATGAAATTAGCAGGTGCCTTCCATCAATTAGACCTAGCCTTCAAGCACCTATTAATTTCAAATCACCAAAGAATTTCCTTACCAAATCCATTTTAGGGTGGCCAAACTGGAATTTTCCAACCAGAGTGAATTTAACTGTTTCATTGAGCTCACTAATTTCCTGAGGGGAGAAGATAACTGCAGGTTCCCCATCCTTTACTCCTAAAAGATTAAAAAGGGGGCAAACACCCCTCCCAGCAGCAGCAGCATGTAAACATTGAGGGAAAAGTAGATGTTGAAAGGATTTAGGCACTTCCAAGCCACTACCAACAACTTCAGCAAAGGTAGCATTGGTCCATTGAGCATTGGTATCCACATCAATGGGATAGGCCATTGAATACATAAGGATCAAAGACAAAGGCAGGGAACCAAACAGTAAAGACCAAATTCCAGCAGAAGAGAAGCAATTTCAGAGCCTCAAAAAGTATCAATCTAAACTGAAAACCAGGAAAACCAGCAAGGAAGGGAAAGCCCCAGAGAAAAACAGTAGCTAACAGCAACTTTATCAATGGAACAGTAACACAAACTTGAAACAAAAACTTCCCGGGCAAAAACCAAAACTACCACCACAAACCCCAGGGAGATCTTGAAGAGAAAGCAAGCTTCACACAGGTCCAAAGCACCTCCAAGAAGCTCCATCACAGCGAAAACCCTAGCAGAGCACAGCTAGGTCCAACCGCTAGCATCTTGATTTTATATATCCATCAAAGATATATATAATACAATCTCTATGTATCTCATACATTCTTTTACGATGCTAGTGTCTGATATATATAATTGATTAGTGGTAATTCGAGCCAAAACGAGCCGAACATGAACAAATAAATATTTGTTCGCGTTGTTCGTGTTCGGCTCGTTAACTTAGTGAACGAGTCGAACATGAGCTGCTTAATAAGCGGAACATGAGTTGTTCGCGAACAACGAGCAGTTTTGACATCCCTACTTAGGAGAGAGGGGGCTTAGCCGACCAAGGGCATCAAAGGCATCATGTTAGTCACTCTTTGCAGCTGTAACGGTCTTTTATGGTGTGTCCAACCAATGTGTGGTATGGGCAATACTTGAAGTGATCCGTCTTATTGACATTGTTTTTTTTTTTTGAATCCAGGCTTTTTGGCCAAATCCTGAAACATCTCATCCACTGCTTCGTTTTTGAATATTCTCTGTTTAGAGGTTACTTTATCGTAAGAGACAATTTGTTGACTGCGTGCTGAGACGACTGTTGAGTATGTTGTTGAAGACATTAGTGGGTCTATGGAGGCTGCTTCACCTGTGTCTGCAATGATTGCTTCTCCTTATCATTTCTATGATTTGATTTTTTTTCTTATTTTTTCTTATTTTTAGCATAGTATTTCTTATTTAATAATTTATTTTAATTTATCCATTTTTTTTTTTTTCAATGAAGATGCCACATCATAATGGGCACCTGTTTAAGCTCCTAATTTAGTCATTTTTAGCACATTTCAAATGGTTAAAAAATATTGCAAGCCAACCAATCAAAAAGTGGTATTGTACAAATAAATAATATCAATGAGCCAATTATTGGAAGCTTCCAAAGACCAGGGCCAAAAGGCTAAAAAAAAGGTATAAATATAGTTTTTCTCGAGAAGATTTTGGCCAAGGGGCCATTTGAGAGCATTTTTATTTTAATTTTTTTTTATTTTTAGTTGAAATAAAATATAATTAATTTAATAATAAGAATTCTGGTGTCATAAAATAATACATCAAATGATGTATTTTATTTTTAAAAATTAATAATAATGATAATTTTACTTTGATATTAAAATTTTGAATGTTATGCATGTAAAAATGAAAAAAATAGGTATTAGCTAGATATGTAAATAAATTAGACTATTGTGTTATTCATGTAAATGCCCTAAAAAAAAAAAAAAGGCAAAATGAACACATTGAACATGAGGTGTCAGGATTGATACATTTTTTTTCATTCCAACTGGCTTTGTGAGGTTTACTCACATATTACATAACTCTTGTATATTTATGATACCTATTACATGAATAAATTTATTATAATTTTTATATTAACAAATGAATTTTCTTATATATAAATTTCATATGGTGAGAGAGATCTTGAAAAATGTCACTGATTAGTATGGTGTTGTTTGAGCTGATTTATTTTCTTTTAATTTTTTTATTTTTATTTAAAATAAATATATTTATCACTTTTAATTAAGTTGTGATTGTTTTTTAAAGAACTTCAAATATTAAAAAAAAAACGTATAAAATATTTATTGAAATAGAAATAATAATAACAAAAGCAGACCAAACAGGCATGTTCCTAAAAACAAAAAAAAAAAAAATAATCTCAATTAAGTCCTAAATTTTCTAAAGTATGTTGCCTATTTAAGTATAAGATCATTTCAGAGAAGACAAAAGTCAAAGAAAACATTTTGAAATCAAGCTATTAATATTATAAAAGAAGATAAATGTTACATTTTTTTTTTATTTGAAGCACTGTGGCAATTATATTTTAAACCAGTGATTACTATATGCTTCAAATTAGGGTCTTCTGATCGAATAGAAGGCTATTTACTAATTACACCACGGACCAAGTCCACATAAATGTGGCATTTGAAAGATATGGTGACCTTAAATCCTGACAAATTTTTTAGGAATTTAAGAAGACCTTCGATCAACATTTCAACATGTAAAGTCCAATTAAATGTGGCATTTGAAACAAGCGTTGACTAATCATGATTAATTCGTTTAAATATAATAATTTTATATTGCGAGAAAAAAAATAAAGGGTGGAATTTCTGAACTCTATAATCCATTAAATATAAAGAACGGAGGCAAGAATGACTGATTGGAGGCAATTTAAATAAATGGTTTCTTCAAGTATTTTTGCATAAGAGAGATTTAAATCCCACGGAGTGATTTATTGAGAGGACAAACAATGTGAAGCTTGAAATCTAAAAGTTATGACATGCGTAGGGCATGGCCAAGTTTGCCATGAAAGAAATATTGAGGACATCCAATTGAAAGGTTTTTCGCATGTAGTTTGTTTCTTGGTAATCAAATTAAGAGTTTCAGTATAATTCAACTCTTACTCCTGCTTGTAGCCTTTAGCAACAAGCCACAACCCCTTCTAAGTTGTATTTAACTTTAGAAATTCATTTTCATTAGTCTCCAATCACAAGATATTGAGTCCATGACTTATAATATCCTTTGATTTAATGCAATGTAATTATCCAAATAGTTTGAGCTTGTAGAATAAAAAAAATAAAATCATTTACATCTCAACATATTCTGTGATGGTGAAATGGTTATAATTATCCAAATAGTTTGAGCTTGTAGAGCCTCAAATGTTGATGCCAACCTTTCAGCATGCTATTTGACGAATTTGGGGCAATAAATTTGATCAAAATTGGTGATAGGATTTAACATACTTATAATATCCTTTGATTTAATGTTGCGTTGGGTTAAGTAATGTTGTCGGCCTAGAATCTGTCATTCATTGGATGTTGGGGAATGTTTACAATATTTGTAAGAGTTATTGGATTTGTATTATTGAAGGAGAAGGTTTTAGTTGGCAAGGTTTTAATTGCGGACAAAAAAGTATACAATGGTGTATTTGCATCACACAAGTTTATTCTTAGGGCAGGCAGTGTAGACAATTTATGATAGGGATTTTGAGTAACAAAAAAGGAATTGGTTGTTGGAGTGAAGTGTTTGTTGAGGCAATTTAGAAGAAATTGGTTGTGAATGTAAGTATTATGAAAAGATACATTGCATTAAATTTTGCACGATAAGATACAATGATTTTTTCTTTGTTAGTATTATAGCATTTATATCATTTAGAAATTGATCCATGAATAAGAAAGATACAAAAAAGATATTTTGGTTTAAATCTATGTATAGAGTGAGGAGATAATCACAAAAATCATAAACATCAAAAGTTCTAAGATAGTTGTCTAAAGGAGCCTAATCATATGGCAATTGATACTGAGAACATTGCTTTGTTGTTAAACAAGGCAATTTATTAAAAAAATGATAGTTAAGTATGTGAACTCATAAATCGAATGAAATTTAAGCAGCAAGTATGATATTTCAAACTATTTCAATATTGTGGTGATGTTTTCATTCAAATAATTCATTATGCTTATGAATAAATCCAACTAAGTCGATGAGCAATGCCACAATCATTGAGTATTGTTTGAAGGTTAGTAGTGATGTATTCTCCATCACCCTTAAATGAAGGTTTTTTATGGTTTAATTAAGTTGGTGTATAATGAAAGATATGAAAAGAAGAAATTCATAGATCATTTTATTTTCTTTCATTGAATATACCCATCTAGCAAAAAGAGAACAGAAATCATTCATAATGCTGTGCAATATTTAAATCCTTGTATCGACAAAATTGGGGAATGACTCATACATCTGTGTGATTTTGTTTAAATAGTTGACAACCATAAGAAGAAGAAGAAAGAGAGAATATATTTGCAAACACGCAAAATTCACATTGAATCATTTTTATAAGAAAATAACTTAAGTAGATTGGGTTCATTTTTAGCTCGGAGAAAATGATTCTAAGCGAAAGGCCAAATTTGCAAAGCCAAAGCGTTGAAGTTGATGCTATTGTGGTAGGGGATAGGCGTGGTAGAGGACTCCATGTAGTATTAGTTGTACAAAGTGTTGAACAATGAGAACCAAAAAGAAGAGTGTAATTAAGCCCATTATGTAAAACTTAAAGCATAAAAAATCGAAGATAAATAATTAGTTGTAAGTTTATTGATGGAAAGGAGTTTATGAGAATTATTTAGAACAAGAAGGAAAGGAGTTGAGTAGAGCTTATGATTCAATGTGTGTAAGATTTTATGACTAATGCAATATCTACAAGTATAATTCAATTCAATAATATCATCATAATGCCTTCAATAACTGTTTGCTTTGAGTTTACTTTTATATATGTATGGTTGATAAAAAAAAATATTATAATTTGTCCTTAAGAGTATCCTTTTAAATAATTTTATGCTTTGTTTAGATATATAAAAAGGTTGTCTCGAAGGATGATGAAATGATTCCATTGAAGTATTATCTGAAGGGAATTATTCTATGCATTTAATTTATTTTATATTAGAATTTTTAAAATTTCTTTATCACTTTATAAACCTTTAATCACTCTATTTTCTTCAACTTTTTTTTTCTATTTTTATGGGCATGATTGGTACATAAAAAATATGCTTTTTATTTGTATGAACTTAACATATGTCCGTGATAGGGTTTGGTGTAGCTCCTATGATGGACAAAATTAGAGAAAGTCATCTTAGATGGTTTGGTCACATTAAACGTCGACCATCTAATGATTCAATTAGGAGGAGAGTAGATGTTTTGAGAGTAGATGTTTTAGATTTGACTTGTGTTAAGAAAGGCAGAGGTAGACCTAGGAAGACTTGGGCTTATTGTATAAAAAATATTCTTATTTTCCTAAAACTAAATGAAAATATGACACTAAACAGGATGCAATGGATAAAAAGGATTCATGTAGCCGACTCCACGTAGTGGAATTAAGGCTTTGTTGTTGTTGTTGTTGTATTTGTATGAACTTAACAAAGCTATTTGTATTTGTACAAATGAGTATTTTGGAGTCTTCTAGCCTCCATATTGTCAATCATTTTATTAGAATTTTTAAATATATTTTATTTAAAAAC